TCGGCCGCTTTTCCATAAATAAAAAACGACGTATGCACTTGCACCAGCAGCTCGACTCCGGGGGAGTAGACTGTACCCATGAAACGTGGCGGTCGGGTTCACCCCAAACTCTAGTGGTAACCAAGACGTTCCGACACAATGAGAAGAGGCTTCTGGACTGGAAATCGCGGTTGATGTTGGCGAAGGAACAGATTCGGAAGTTCGAGCCGCTCCACCTCTCGCTACTTCTTGGACCGAACTACCTAACTATTGTCAATATGGAGCATCTCTCCGCGGCGCCGGAGCGGGCTCAGGTTCAATCGCCGGCAGTGGTTTCGGGCTCCTCACGGGCGACAGACCAACCTCGTGGGCCATTGCAGGCAATTAGCTCCGCGAGATTGCCCCCGTCACCCGTGGCTGGAGTGAAGAGGAAGTTGCCTCCCACAGAGATTGACATTATTGATTTGACTGGAGAGTAGGGTGGCGGCGCAGAACGGCATGGTTTAATAATACCGACTCGTGTAGAATAAAAACCCCTCGCCAGCTCTTGTTCTTGTTCTTCTTTCTCTTGCCTCCTCTTTATCGCAGCATCCCGTCCGGTGATGGAGTTTGCGCCTGCGTACGGAGTAATGTTCTCCCTTTGTTGGCATTGCGGGTTTGTATGTATACTGGACCTGATGCCCAGCTGCTGGATACCATTGGGATGGGCAATTAGTACACGACATGTTTAATAACTCTCTCACATATTAATACCTTGCCTGCATTAAGTTCGGCAAACTTGGGGATTTAAATAAGTGTGGCGCTGTGTAAGCAATTAAACAGTTAATGTTACCTGATAAGGGGGCCCTCACAGAAGTACGGGGTATATCACACAAAATATGTACGGAGTACAGGCCTGTTTCTTTAATTTTTTGTGTGACAGTTGAAATTACGGTCAAGCGAAAGGAATGTACGTATTGACCTAACCCCGCTCCTTTCCACATTACACACCATATATTTTATAAGAGGATTAGTACTCTTTACTAGGGTCTGTATTCCTTTTATTCTCCTCGTATCGCCTTATCAGCCCGGGCAGGCTCCTCGATTTCTCTCGGAAAAAAATACAGGGTCCACTTTAACAGCTGTTAGTGAATAACCTGCCAGCTGGCCCACTTACTGATGTCATACATGGCTAAACTTTCAGGGTCTGAATTAGGGTTCAACCGCTGACAGCCAGCTTGGTCTGAAGATTTCTGTCAGGCCATTTCGTCTATGCACCCATCGGAAAAACTCGAAAGCCAGCAATAGAATGAAACAGCCCAAATCATCTCGACGTCGTGATGACCCCTTCGGAATGGAACCCCCAGACTGGTACTATCGAGTGTCGCTCGCCTGCGACCTAGAGGGCCGGGAGGTTAGAGGAAGTGACTTTGACGAGGACATCTCAGAACTGGGAGAGGGTGAGGGCGACAGCGAAGGTAGTGGCTCAGACGTTGCAGGCGAAGGTGACGGTGAGGATGGATGCGAATGCGGCAGTGAGGATGAATGCGAATGCGACTCCGGGGAGGATGACGACGAGGAATCGGAACACTCGTATACAGGAAGCGATGCCGACAACTACTATGATTTAAAGCGCCAACGCATAGCCCGGAAGATACACTTACGAGACGAAAAGGAACAAGTGCCGGAAAACCCAATAGTCTACCCAGCCTATGAGGCTATTCTAAAGGCCCAGAACGAGCGAGGCTGCCCTGAGAATGAAGACCGGGCGGAAGAGGCTCGTGGCGAACAGATAGTCTACACAGCCTATGAGGCTATGCTGGAAGCCCAGAAAAGGGGAGGCTGCCCTAAGCTAAAACCCATCTTTAACCAGATGTTTACGTTATATTCCGTCGATTTCCACGACTATTGTTCCCATGAGTGGTTCTTCAGGACGCCATACGTCGAGTTCAGGGCTCTCTGCCCGCCGGACTGGGACTGGGACGATGATTTATTAGATCCAGCGGAGACCAAGGCTCATGGCCACATATACTTGGATTCTGATTCTGTCAGCGAATTTGCAGCCTTTTGGCCTCCAAGAAGGGCTGGCCAGCTAATGATACCATTACTATATGGACCGGAGGAATGCGACCCCATCATTCAATTCATTAGTGATGAATACTTCATCATGACCGTTAGAACTGATTTGGACATTGTCGCAAATCGTATTCGCATTCGCAATCCCGAGGCCACAAATATACCTGATGTCTTTCACTTTGTGGGCATTAGAGACCGCCAATATGACAAATGTGGCTCCAATTACAGATTTGACTCTTGGCTCATTGGATCGAACAAGCTACAAGCGGGAAGAAATGGAGAATAGCCGGTTTTTGATTGATTGAATGAATTGTTTTCAGTCTGGAGAGAAGAAAGCCGGTCTAAGGGATCTGCACGCTCCCTGTCACCCCGTGACTCTGTTTTTTCGATGTTTGAAAGCACCCCGAGATATTCGCATAGTGGCGTCAACTGCCACCGATTTTAGCGGTTACAACCGTGGCATTTGGCTTCATTACACAGACGGCAGCTGGGACCTCTCCGATCTCAAACGAACCACAGTTTCCCGTTCGACGCCATCGGAAAGTTCCACCGCACACCCTCTTCGGCAAAGCTCTTCCGGAGACACCCATCTTGATTGAGCTCCGCGACGGACTGTTTTCGGCAATAGCCCTTCCAAAAACGTTGGGTATACTCAGCCATCATATGTCTAGCACGCGGTGGCTGGGCTGGTCGTTGATGCCTTTGCGCAAAGCCTCTACGAGATTATGGCCGCTGCTGCCGGCATAACGTGCCAATATTTCAAAATGACGTTTCCGCCTAGGCCTTAGATAAGCACTTAATTTTCCTGAGAAAAGATGGCTTCAAAACATTTCAAGAATATTTTAATTCTTTCCTTATATTATTTGCTGAAAATATATAAAGTCAAGTCGGTACAATACTCAAAAACCTAGTTGTGGCGCTGATGCCTTGTGCGCAATTTTCATCTCTCTCGCAGCTTGCTCGTCTCGACGGCAGTCCGTGGTGTCTCAACGTGTAACTTGGACGAATGGCACTGCGAATCTTGCACAATTTTGTTGTTCGTGGTTGCCATCAATGCTCTTCGGCAATCGCGGAGGAGAAATGTCGCAAGACTGCAGCTGAAGGGACGAGGCGGAAAGGCGTCAAACTTTGCCCTCTCAAATGGTTTAACCGCCCAAGCCTAGTGAGCACGATAGAGTTTTGCGGCTGAATAACTCTTATCGACTATTGTATTTTTCAGAAACATATGCTACGCATGCTCAAGCTTGGCTGCTCCCTCGGAAATGCCTCGCAACCGGTGTCACATTATCATGAAAACAGAGGCGACTTGGCACCACTGACGCTGCGGGAACGCATACAATACAGCAGGACATGGAATATCATGGTTGACCACAGAGCGTAACCTGGATAGAGACAAAAGTTGCGCTTTGAGCCCGACCTTTGTCTTGGCAGCACCTACATCACCGGTTGCCTGCCGTAGCAAATCTCATGGCACGTGTAAAAGCATTCCTTTGTGCACATTTGAAACAATCAATGTCATCATCCAGGTAGTGTTACCATCTGCGACACGTATTTCTTACATATTGTTCATTATATCTTTTGCAAATACGTCGTTATTCCACATCGAGTCTCACTACACCTAATGCCTCTGGCTTAATTCGACCCCGGCGGTCGGTCTCATCCCTGCCGTCTTTGCTGCCGCAAGCTCATCCTTCACTACAACATGTGTTGAGCAGTCCCTGTGGCTCAAACTCGGCCCAAGGAGAGCCAGCGATCCCCTGACGATGGGAGAGACGCACAGTCAGGGGTGCTGGTGAGAAACGAGTGATGTTCCGCAAGGCTTCGAGTGCGGGTAAAAATGAAGTAATATATAACGTAGTAGCAACGGAAACAAGGTTATGTGTAAGTTGGAAGCAATTTGTACGTCTTATTACCGTAGCCGCTCAAATTATATTTATTTCAGCATGAGCAACTTGGAAGGAAATGGAGATGAGTGGTTCGAGGATTATTGTCAAATTATGCTTTTCCTGTTGTGCAGCAGCTGTGGCGAGCTTTTGCTCTCGCATTAGTACAGTGGCAAGAGCTATTTTCAGGTTTATTTCTTCTCATAAGAAAGCTTACAAGCCCCGGAATGACCAGCTTGAGTCATGTCTTACATAGCAAGAAGACGAAGCAAAAGGCCAAGGACTTGGCTGCGTGGCAATCAACAATGGTGCCGGTAGTCAGCACCACTTCATTTTGCTAAAGAAGCCTTGGATAATGTTAGTGAATCTATCTATCCAGAGGTAATTCTATGAGCAAATGGAACATGCGGTCAACGAGGGGCGCTGTCGGGTAAGACTGTCTCTGTTGGTTGAGCAAGCAGACTTGACGTACTTGCTAGATAGTATAAAATCATTCATATTACTAGTTGAAGAGGCTGGTTAGCGACCTAATGAGACCATATGGCTGGGAAGTATTCTCAACTCAAGATAAATGGCATGACTCTTTGAAGGATGGAAACAATCATTGAATTCTACAAAAGAAACTTGGTTAATAAGGCGTCTCATGGCGTGATGCACACGTATTGCCTAGGTAGGATATATATATTTTAGGGCTCTCTGGGGTCTGGTTACTTCTGCTACCTAAATGGATTATTGTTTCGCTCTCAAGTCAAATAATATCACAATCTACTATCTATATATAGTGTCTGTAATATTAGTTACTCCTTAACAAAACATGAATCATGACAAACCTGGTTTCCTTTTTCAAAACTGAAAGAGTTCTTAATCAATGGCTGCTTAAATATAAGCAAGTTCCAAGACTTGGTGAGTTACCCCAAGTAGCGCATAAGCTAACCCAAGTAACATTTACTACAGAGATAATCCAAGACTTGTACGCATCTCTGCATGATAGACAAGGTATAACTGTTGCTTTCCCAACTAATGTGTTTTCCCTCTTGGGAAAGCCCAATAAGTAAGAATTACCACGCTCACCATAACAACGACTTAATCTTGACGCTGTTCTTGGCCTCTCACAGCCTGCAGGATACCGGATACACCTGGTCTTGGCATCATGGTTGAATCGTCTGACGGACTCTCCTCATCCGTCTCCTTGGGTTCTTGTTTCTCTGCGTCGCCTGTAAGAACCACGTCGGCGACAAAGAAGCTGGCGAGTAGGCACACAGCCATAAGGGGCACTAGCACGATGAAGACGACTCGAAATCCTTGCATGCGCGCGTTCAAGATGTCCGACTCGAAGCGCTCCGTGCCCGTCTCGCCTATGCGCCACGTACCGTTCAAGACACGCACGCGAAGCGAGTCTGGCACCGAGCGACGCAAGGCCTTGTCCAATACCGCGTAATATGCAGATGTCGACACGGCGACTCCAAAGACACTGCCCAGCGATCGTAGAACATTGCGAGTTCCCGTGGCGACGGCACGATCCTCATCCCTACAGTTGGCTTGCAGCGCCACAAGACCTTTGTAGCCGTCAGTAATCAAGACTGGCCAAGAGCAGGGAGTCATGCAAGAAAAGTCTCTTGTATGCTATCGATCTGTCAAAATATAACCCCGAAAGGCCTGCGCAACGTACCCGGTTGGTGTACCCAACCCACGCCGGCTCCCTCAATGGCCAGAACAACTACATAGGTGCCTGTGGAAGTGTGTAGATTAAACAAGAGCTGTAGGCCACACCCAAGTGTCCAAAGCAGGAATCCCGTGCGTAGGACAGGGCTGTATCTGCGGCGCCAAAATGTAAGCACGAGTCTGCAGCAATTCTTCAAGCCCCCAGCTCACCTGGCCAGTTTAGACATGACCGGCCCAGAAGCGGCGCCGGCCAGGCCTTGCGCGAGGAGAAATGGCAGAATAATCGTGGCGCTCTGCAAGGCCGTATAGCCGCGGACTGTCTGGAGATGAAGAGGTATAAAGTACTGGGTCGCCTGCCAAACGAAGTCATGAAGTATGCCCATAACAAGGAGGAGCGAAGACGATCTATGTCTAAAAAGGCGCAGCGGGATAATGGGCATCTTGGCCACAAAAGCCTCGATGGCGATGAATCCAACCACCAAAACAACACCCACCGTCAGTGTCGAGATGGTCTCAGCACTATCCCAGGGCCACATGCTCCCCCCCGAGTTTAGAGGTATCTAAGCGGAGTCTTTAGCTTGATGTAGTCACGACTCACTACTCTATCAGGAGAGCTCACCATGATCAGCACGATTCCCGCGACGGAAACCACCACGCCCAGCCAGTCAATCTTGCCCACCTTGTCCTTCCAGTTTCCAGACACGGGCTTGAGCGGCAAGAGAAACACGAGGAGGCCGAAACAGCACGCGGCGGCAATGGAAGGCACCCAAAACACCCATCTCCAGCCACCGGCGCCCGTTTGTATCAGGCCACCGGCCACAAAGGGCCCCGAGGCGGCGCCGGTGCCGATGGCGAGGCTGATGATGCCCTGGTACTTTCCGCGCGACCGGAGGCTGACCAGGTCGCTGACGATAATGGCAACCAGGGAGCTGATTCCGCCTCCGCCGATGCCAACTACGGCCCGGGACGTATACAGCCAGATGGGCGTCTGGGCGAATCCGCAGAGAATGTCGCCGACGATGATGCAGCCGACGGAAAACAACAGGATGGGTTTGCGGCCAATGATGTCCGATATCCGGCCGTAAAGGGGCTGGCAGGACGTCTGGCCCAAGAGGTAGGCTGTCCCGACCCAGGTGATGCCCGGGCCGGCATGCAGGGCATCGGATATAGTTGGCAGAGACGTGGTGACGGCGTTCATGTCTAGATAGGAGATGAAGTAGCACAGACAGAGGCAGAGATAGGCGGCCATCAGTCGCGGAAACGGCAACCGCTGCGTCTGATCATCGAGCTGGTCAGGGCCAGAGCCGCATGGCAAGGTGAGCGTCGACGAGCTCTGCGTCTCATCGCCGTCGGATCCGACAGATTGCGTCTCTGGGTCAAGAGTTTGGTAACCGCTCGAGACGCGGGCCTCGTCCTGGGTCAAGAGAGGTCCGGTTTTGGTTGATCTCATGCTGGCAATCTGATTTGCTTGGAAACAGAAGACAGGGTAAACGAATTTCTGACGACATGTTTGCTTCGACTCTCAAGGCGCTTGAGCTGCCCGTGTTAAATGCTGCTTATTAGTCGGCCAAGCTGATGATTCATGCGGGGACAACAACACCGTTCATCTACATGAATAAAAGTCAGCAAGGATTCCCCGGATGCCCAACTACTTCGGAGTCCGTGATGGCCGAGAAACAGGCGTGTCTGTCACGGAAGCCCCGGTCACGTCTTACCATGGCACCGGGTCACACGACAAATAACCAGATTTGTCGCATGCGGAGCGGGTTGCAACCTTTTGCACGCGCCCATGCTGACCCTGCAGGTTGCATGGGGTAATGCAAGATTATCCTTTCCGTATGAGGAATGTGGTCGAGTGACGAATACTAGCTCTTATATGGGGATATTCATCTCACGACAGCCACATTGATGCGTTGTAAACGTCCGGACTGGTATTACGACCGACGGCAAACACCGGGAATGCTTACAGGGGCGGTGCAAAATCATTATTGTACCGGCTTCTTCAGCAGCATGTAGGTTTATTTTCAAAAACAGCGGTGAATCTAGATCAACGCCATGCCCCCATCTTCCGATGCTACAACCTTGCATCCATCGTAGCCACGTACAGCCAAACCTCAGCCGCCACATGAGCCATATGCGCAAAATTACAAATCAGCTCCAGCCGGGGAAACCTGGCGCGCGTTGATACTAAGCAGCTCCTTGACCGTGACGATGCGAGCGTCGGCTTCACACCCGCACAGCTGACCACCGGCAAGGTCCTTGACCGTAGTCTCTATATTCTCCAACGCCTTCTTCTCAGCTTCCATGCCGTAACGCTGCTCATCCGTGCCCTGCCCCTGCCCCAGATACCGTCTCTCGGCCAGCCTTCTCAACAGACACCCGTAGTTGCGCGCCCTCCAACAGAGGCGCAGCTCCTCGTCGCCAGCAAACACATCAGCCTTGCCCGCGCCCCCGTCCTCCAACACCTCTGCCACCGCCTTGATCTTGGCCCGCATCAAGTGGTTCGCGTAGATGAACACGTTGGCGCCCGCGGCCGCCAGCACACTGCGCTTGGTTTGCGAGTAGGCCGTCGGAACAACGACCAGCGGCGTGGTCGCATCCACGGCCCGGAAGCCCTTCAAGAACCCGAGCACCTCATCGGGTTCCCTGCTCTTGCTATGAATCATGACAGCGTCGACGCCAGTCGCGGTGTAGACACTCGCGCGCTCCAGGGCGTCCCGAAGCGCAGCCTGGACCGACAGCTGCTCCTCGACAGGATCCCGTCTGACCGCGCGCGTGGTGAAGCTCTCGATTCTAGCGGCAATCATGACATCCACGCCCGCCGAGGCCGCCTTGAAGGCGCGAATGACGTTGGCGAAGTCGTGCCTGTCGGCTTGGCTCTGCGCGTCGGACGTGGCGAGGAGGGAGTTGACCTTGTCGCCGGGTCTGGCCACGGCCTTGTCCTCGATGATGATCATGGAGACGCCGTGGATGGCGAGCACCGCCACGAGAGCCGGGATGTCCTTGGCTTCGCCGCCGCTGTCGGCGTCAAACGCCGCGCATAGAGGGCGCCCGTTTCGCTGCATGGGCTGTTGTACCGGCGTCATGAGGAGGGCACGCCGGAGGGGTGAGACGAGCTCGGTGTCCGGGACGCCGAGGATAGTCGTCTGCGTGAGACCGCTGTTCCAGACGCCGTCGAAGGTCTGGCCGTTGTCTGCCACGGCGTCTCTGACGAGCTCGGTTGACGCGCGGTCGTGGGCTTCGCAGAGACGCACTTGGCCGTTGTTTTGGGCTAGGACGCTGCGGAGCAGAGTGGCCATTTTGGGAGACGGATGCGGTTGCAAAGGACGGGAAGTAAGGGGAAGAGGTTTGATTCTTACAACGTTCATGTGTAGCTTGTTTGGTGAGGACTCGGGGGGTACGGCGAATTAGCAAGTCGCGGCTCTCGAGCTTGTCTGGCAGACGAGATTTCCACATCTTTTATAGACGAATAGCCCTCCGAGATGGGCATGGGGAGAGCCAGGGAGAGACGTTGAAATTTGCACGTCTCTTCTCCGAAAGAAGCAGACGGCACTGGCGGGAGGAGTCTCATGTCGAGACAATTCTCATTTCGCTTTCACCACCCCCGGGGTCAAAACGTTGATGTCTACCAAGCCATGAACCTATAGTGCAACATGTTTGTTTCCTAGCCGTGCGGACGTGTGACCTCAAAACATTATACGGACCTCCCCGGATGTGGCACTGGAATCCTTCATATGCTAATTGCTTAGGAGCTCGAGGGACTCACGGGATCAAAAGTTGCACACCCTCTCCCTATTATATCCGCCGTAAGCGTTCTTACCTCGTTCACCAAGTAGCATCATGATCGGGCAATTTGTCTACTTCTGTCCTTATAGATGGGCCAATCAGAATCAGCTCTGTAGACAGTCGGTCGATTGTGGAGGCGCAGGATTACATGCAACGCAACTTAAATATGAATGCCGGTCATCCGAGCGTGAGACGACTTGCCAACTTGACACGCGGCCCCGGGTCGGCTTTTGAGAATTCAAGTGCGAATCGCGAATCGCGGCGATCGGTGTGGTAAGCTCGCTCAGATGCGGGCTTGAGACCTTGGGCATGCAATTTTTCAACGAGTTTCTCTGACACGGAGCTCATAAGGGCTGGGTAGCGGTTTCAAGACATGGCGCGCAGCGAAATCAAACGCCGGCTGAATAATTTGCACATGATGCTTGGCGTTCAAGGTATTGATACATGGTGAAAAGGTCTCAAGATGCACACGGGTGTGTAAGCGAGAGGGAATGAATCATGTCTCGTATGGGAACAGAGACTAACAGGCTATTTAATACCCCGTCATCTCACTCTTTCATCATTGGAGAAGAGCAGGAGCTTTGTATAGCTACTATGTTGAGTTTTCGAATTCCCTCCCCAAGCGTTATAGCCAGACTACATCACTTTACCATTCTACTTTACCTTGTTCATCATGACATGCGTACCAAAAGAGTCCTTGTTTGAAAACTTGAGCGAAATACCTCTTGATCCGCATTACGCTCTCAAAGAACTATTCCGTGCCGACACTCATCCGAAAAAGGTCATCCTCGGATCCGGTCTGTACCGTGATGACAACTCGGAGCCATGGGTGCTTCCAACGGTGCAGAAAGTCAACGATCCCCCTCCCTTCTCATCCATCCTTGACACGACGTACGTGTGGCTAAGGAACGTGTAGGCCGAAGAAGTAGTCAAGAAGACCCAGGATTCCGGTCGTTACGAATACTTGCCCATCTCCGGACTGGCACCCTTCGTCTCGGCCGCTCGACAGGTCCTTTTCGGACCCCTGGGCAGCAAGGAGGCTCGCGTCGTCTCGCTGCAGACCATATCCGGCACCGGTGCCAACTTCCTCGGGGCAAAGTTCCTGGCAGAAACTCTCAAACCGTCGGCCGTGTGGCTCTCGGATCCTAGCTGGGTCAACCACGCCAACATCTGGGGCCTCGCCGGCGTCCAGGTAAGGCGATACCCGTACTGGGACGCCACGAACAAGCGGCTCGACTTTGAGCACATGATTCAACGGCTCGAGACGGCGGCAGCCCCCGGCGATGTCGTCCTGCTACACGCGTGTGCCCACAATCCCACCGGCGTCGACCCGACCAAGGACCAGTGGACAAGAGTGGCGGATGTCTGTGAGAAGAAGGGGCTGTTCCCGTTCTTCGATTGTGCCTAGTAGGTTCCCCTCGGCCGGCGGGTTGAGCTGTCTACATGCTAAGAGTTTGACGTCAAGCCAGGGATTCGCGAGCGGAGACCTCGCCGAGGATGCCTGGGCCGTACGGCATTTCCTGGGGCGTGACACGCTCGAGATGGCCGTTGCCCAGTCCTTCTCCAAGAACATGGGGCTCTATGGAGAGAGGGTTGGCGCGCTGCATCTGCTCTGCCGGACGTCGATGGCGGCCGACAAGGCCAAAGGCCACCTCTCGCGCTTCCAGAGAGGGCAAATCTCACAGCCTCCCACGACGGGGGCCAGGTTGGCCGCTACGATTCTCGCTGACCCTGAACTATTCCAGGAGTGGCTCTTGGATCTCGGAGAGATGAGCGGGCGGATTAGACAAATGCGCAGAGCACTCCATGACGAGCTCGTCGCCATGGGTACTCCTGGGCGGTGGGATCATGTCATCTCGCAGGTGTGTAATCACGGTCCAGTTGACTCTTTCTGGCCTTTGAAGCCTGCTGGCTGACATGTTTCGTCCATCAGATCGGCATGTTCTCCTATACGGGCTTGACGCCGGAACAGGTTGCCTCTATTCAAGAGAATAGCCACGTGTATATTTTGAAATCTGGCCGAATCTCGGTTGCTGGATGTACGTTGTTCCATTGGGTGCTCCCGGAAGATGATTAGATGCTTATATTTTTCTCTAGTGAACACCAACAACGTCAAGCATGTGGCAGAGGCCATTGACGCTGCAGTGCGGACGCATCCGTTCTGAGTACTAGACTGCAAAATTTATCGACTAGGGACGTTTATAAAGTTGTATTCACACAGCAAACAACTCCGTTGGTAGTGTGATGGGAATATTATTATCAAGGTGTTGCACGGAAATAGCCCAATGCCAAAGCCTACACAAGGTCTATTGTCGCGAGACCTAGGGCAAAGTCTCTGATTAATTTCTTATATTTAAAAAGGCCTTAATTAATAAAGCTTTACGAAAAACTAAAAACCTTTAATATTAAAGACTGTGATTAGATAAATCGAGCTAAATTGCTCCAAGCCCTCTATTGAGCCCTTGTCACAAGACACGAGCTTCATCCTCACGCGGCAAATGTGCTCAAGCGTCAAACGGCAGAACTCATAGTATTATTACAGTTGCCGATTCTAGGATAGTAGTTTATATGAAAACCACCTATTAATACATAATTCACCCCGTCCACCTCCTCATTCTGATTTCGGCGGCCACTTCACGCGCCGCTCCGCCCTGACATATAAATTATTCGGCCGTATCAGCTGAAAGTACGGGTCGTACTCGACAGGACCATCCTGCGCCAGCAAAAACTTGTACCGGTAGACGAGTTTCGGCAAAAAGACCTTAATCTCCTGCAGGGCAAAGTTGAAGCCCACGCACATGCGAGGCCCAGCAGCAAACGGCACGTACGAGCCCGCCGGCCGGTTCTTGACCTTGTCCGTGTCCCAGCGGTCAGGATCAAACCGCGTCGGGTTATCCCACAGGCTTTCGTTGTTGTGGATGTGGTGCAGGGCGGGAATCACCACCGAGTCCCTGGGCAGCTTGTAGCCGCCGGGCAGGATCATGTCCACCTTGGACGTGCGGCCAGGCTGGTACGAGGGGTTGTGCCGCCTCTGCGTCTCCTTGATGAACTTGTCGAGGAAGCCGAGCTTGCTGGTCAGCTCGGCCGTCACTTGGGTGTCGTGGTGCCAGCCGTTGTCGACCAGCTCCTGCAGCAGGCGCTCCTGGTTTCCGGGATACCGCACCAGGCTGTATATCAGCCAGGAGAGCAGCGAGGACGTGGTGGTGAAGCCGGCGCCCGTCGTCACGAGGAGCGCGGAGACGAACTGCGATGGCGGCAGCTTCTTGCCGTTGTTGTCTGTTGCTCGCAGCAAGTAATCTGCCGTCATGTGTTAGCCGCTGTGTTTATGGAACGAGAAGTCAGCAGCTGCTGTCTACTTGCGTACCGACAACATTTTCTGCTTCGAGGGCGGCGTCTTGAAGGTCCAGATCAACTTGGCCCTTGGACGCCTTGGCCATGGAGTCTATAATCATCTCCTCTATTCTGGCCGTGCTCTGGCGCAGTCGTTTGGGATCGCCAAATGGCATGTGGGCATACCATGAGCCCATGCTCGTAATGCGTTTGTTTAGTTCCAGGTTGAGGGCGATCTGGTGCACCATTTCGTGCAAGGGGGCATCCACGCCGGTGAAGTGTTGAAAGTCCATGCCCATGACAAGCTTCCCTACTGCCTGGGAACCGAGTTTGAGCATGTACTGGTATACGTTCCAAGCTTCACCGCTCTCGTCGAGCTCGTCAAAGACTCCAAACGCCTGTTCGACGGTGCTTTGCATCGTGGGCGCATAGTGGCGCACTGCCTTGGGCCCGAGGGCCGGAGGCAGAAACTTGTGCGCAAGCCGCCACTGCTCCGTGTCTGTATCTGACAAGAAGACACCTGCTTCGACTGATTTGATGGGGTGTAGGGGATGTCCCGGAACAATTCGCTTGCTAAAGAAGTCGCTTTCTTGGAAGAAGATTTGCGACAGCTTGGGGTCGTTTGTTTGGTAGACCTTGCTGCCCATGTTGTTGGTGACAATCAAGGGACCGTACTTTTGGAAAAGACGCTGATGGTTTCCCAGATGGTCTGGGTACACCTCGAAGTAGTTGCCAAAGTACGGAAGACCTGCTGGGCCAGGGACTTGCCGAACGCCCTGGCCGTCGATGGTGATGACAACTGGGCCATCCGCGTCTTTGACGTCTGAGACTGAACTTAGACTCTGATTATTAGAGACGAATCCAACGCCTGAAGACGAGTTAGAAAGCGTTTTGAATTATGCGTCTTGTTTTTCAATTCTTGCCTTGGTGATCAACTATGTTGAAGTGCGCGGCAACAAGGTGCTGGAGGTCATCAACATCTGCCACCTCTGCCAAATCAATATCGATGGCAGACGATGGGCTTTCACCGAGAAGATGAAATTGTTTTGAGCTCATGATCGCTTGCCACGGTGTTGGACATGGATGATTTCAAGTCAGGACTTGGTGTCTGTACAAGAAATCGGGCCAACGGGTTTTTGGGCTTATATCATATATGTATCCAACCATGCATCCACGGATCCATCCAAATCGTACATACCTAGGTAAATAGTCTCGACTCCCATTACGCTCAACCCCTGGCGCACCGGACAAGTGGCGACTGTTGATAAAATGGAACAACGGCGCATACCGAGGCTGATCCATTCTTGCGTGCTCCCCTGCAGAGCTGCCCTGTTTCACGTCCCGAATCATCATCAGACCCCCATCACTGGGCCATCGGCTTCTCCTGGTGTATTGGTGCCGCGACTCGAGACCCAAAAGACTCGATTCGTCAACGGACCTCCATGGAAGATAGAAGCAGGATCCGCCACGGCACTTCCAGGTGGGCCAAACCAGGGCTCAGCCGCGTCCAACCATAATGTCTTTATTCTTATTAGCTTCCCGATGTATTAAGTCCAAGGGCCGGTGAATGTGTAAGGCGGCTGCATGCCGGCGGCTTGCCTCTCCGGTCCGGCCCCTGCAGCCGTCATCGCGAGAAAATTCGAATTCGACCCCCTGCCCGTTGGCTTTGCCCGGGAAGCAGTCAACGTACATGATACTACATATGCAGTAGTACGTACATGTGGATGTGACGTACTGCCTGACATAACCAATGCAACGTCGGACGCAGCCGCAGGGATCGGTGAGTCCGGCCGACCAACTTTTACCTGCAGGAATGCAATAAACTGCCTCGGCATCCATATCCATGATCCGCATAATCCGCGGACGCCATGGACATTAATACCCGCCATTGTAGCCTCAGTATTCTTGCTACTGTGGAACGGGATGCATGGCCGCCTTTACATATAAGCTCCACCTTGATGTCTTGTCAAGATAAAGAGTCAAGACAACGGATCTCTTTGCGAAACACATAGTCTTGCCAGTCACGCGGAAAACACCTCTCCCTCATACGCCATGGAGATTGAAGCCGCAACAGTTGCGCAGCACAACAAGCCGGAGGACTGCTGGATTACCGTTCACGGAAAAGGTTGGATTTGAAAAAGACCATGGACTCTTCCTAGTTGCTAACCCTTGGCCCCAGTTTACGACGTAACAAAATATTTGCAAGACCACCCTGGCGGCGCCGACGTCCTGGCAGAGGCAGCAGGCACAGATGCCACCCACGAGTTTGACAATGCCGGGCATTCAGAAGATGCGTGGGACATCATGCAGCCATTTCTAGTCGGAAACCTCCAAGGCTATCAGGAAAAGAAGCAGAAGCCGAGGCCGAGGCCGATAATGAGCCAACCACCGAGTCCGAAGCAAACACCATCCACCAAAGGCCAGTCTCTGGCTACACTGGCCACCCTGGGTCTTTTTTCACTGTCAATCGCTGCAATCTACTACCTGAGTAGACACCGCCGGCCTTTCTTTCCCAAATCCCTCGTTTCATGGCTGCACAGCAAACCCGAAAACCAGGGCGGCTTCAGCTTCATAAAGGGCCTCTTCATCAGCAGCAGCATCTTTGCCGTCGGCAACGCGATTCTCGCCCAGCGCCTGGCCAAGCTCATCTGGGGCACCAAGTCCTTCACCAGCTACCCGGCTCACATAAAAGCCCCCCAGCGCATCCGGAAAAACACCCTCCTGCAGCATGGCCTCCTGGATCCCTCCCAATACCGCCCGCTCCCCCTACACGCCAAGACGCTGGTAGCGCCCAACGTCTACAAGCTCACCTTTGCTCTTCCCACCGCCGACACCGTGCTCGGCCTCCCGATCGGCCAGCACGTCGCTATCAAGGCTGACGTCGGGGGCGAGAGCGTCTCGCGCTCCTACACGCCCGTGTCGAACAACTCGGACCGCGGGGTGCTCGAGCTCGTCGTCAAGGTCTACCCCGACGGCAAGCTGACGAGCGGCTTCCTGGGCAAGCTCCGCGTCGGCGAGGGGGTTGTCTTCCGGGGGCCCAAGGGCGCGATGCGGTATCGGCGCGGGCTCTGCGGGGAGATTGGCATGGTGGCGGGCGGGACGGGCATCACGCCCATGTTTCAGATTATTCGGGCGGTTTGCGAGGACGACCGGGATCTGACGCGCATCAGTCTTGTGTACGCGAACCGGAGGGAGGAGGATATCCTGCTCCGTGAGGAGCTGGACCGTTTTGCGAGGCGGTATCCTGATAACTTGACGGTTTATTATATGCTGGATCAGCCGCCTGTTGACTGGACGTATGGAAGGGGGTATGTTACGAAGGAATTGATGCGGGAGAAGTTGCCGGCGCCGAGTGCTGATAGCAGGATAATGCTGTGTGGGCCCCCGGGCATGGTTCAGGCCAGCAAATCGTCGCTGGTGGCGTTGGGCTTTGAACAGCCGGGGGCGATGGCTAAGATGACGGACCAAATCTTTTTATTTTGAGCGGTTTAGGGACTTGGATGGCGAAGAAATAGAGGGCGTACGGTTTACCGGGGGGGATGATGTTTGATATTAGTTCGTAACTAGTCGTAACTAGTATTAGTTGCATTTTATAAATAAAGACACTTGTGCTAGTAATTTACCAGAGTAACGTCTTTTGGGAAAGTGATGGCCATTCTCTAGATAGCAAGCAGAGATGCGGCAATAAAAGCAGGGAGTTGAAATCTAGTTAGCCAAGGTAACTTCGGCATCCACAGATGCATGAAGCAAGCACATCTTGTAAGTAATGTCAGCGTTTACATGTAATCACTAGCCTGGAGCTCGTATGCGGCCGTGGCCACCGACAGGAAAGCAAGAGTGTAGTTGATTTGACTTTCGGCCGAGAGTCTAGCCCTACAAGTTTCACGTGTTTTCGCACCAAGCAGCATTCATGATGACCTTGAGCTGACAATGATTCTCTTGACTAAATGTATCAAATTTGAATAGGAAGCAAGGCAATGACGGCAATAACGGCAGTGACGGCATTCGAAATTATGAAAATAGCGGAAATTCATGGAAGAGCTGTACATAGACGCGGCAGGCCGGCTCCGGAGACCCACTGTCCGGGAGGTCCACCCCGCGGAGTGGGTCAGTCTCCGACTCGTCCTGATACTATCACGTTAGCAGTCGCAAAGTGTCGTCGCGTTGGCCGCTCAAAACCGTTGGACCCCGCTTTATTTACATGCATACTGCTCGGGAGGTCCGGCCCCAAGAACGGCTTTATACGCTTCGCCATGGGTTTCTGCCCGGGCGGTTAGCGTGGTAGCGTAACTCGGCGACTAGGTCCGGCCCGCAACTACTGATGGCACAATGACTATCAAGTTGACATGCCCGTTTTTCCAGGCCAATCGAAATGATTTGCACTGACTCAACGTTGGCAATAAGTCGACTTCTTTGTCAAATTCTCATCACACGCTGAAGGGTTTGTGCCACGTCGATCAGATGGCAGCCAGGCAGCTACGATGTTGTGTTGCCCAGTGCGGTATAACCCTTGATATTCGCCCATGGGTTGAGCTTGCCAAGTGACAATTATCTTGTGGGATAGATGGACGTATGCCCGGTCCGATTCCGCAACTATAGAATTCGAAATCAGACTCCTTGGGGGACGCTGCGAGATCTGCATTGGCTCACCTACATCGTTCCGATGCCATTTGAAACTCAAGTCATGTCCCCAAATAACGGCATCATGGTCTTCTAACTATACCGCACGAATCTCGCGCAAGATTCTGCGGAGCCTCAAGGGTAAGCTGCATCTTGATGTCTGGCCGAGTCATGTAAATCTCAATTTTCCATCTTTGCGTCCCTTTAGCAATCCATGCTTACCCGGTAGTCCGTAATTTTCTCCAGTATATCGAAGAAGCCGTCCACTCGATCTGCAAAGCTTGAATGATCTTTATTCCCCGTACGGACTTGGAGTTTCAAATTCTCTCGATTAAGGACTTTTATAGCCGAGTTGGCTTTGTGTGTCACCGGGAGTTCTTGTATATGTTCAGGCTGGCGAAGGAATTCCGAGTTAAATTAGCCGTGGACGACGTTCTTTAGAGACAAACGTACCGTGTGTAGCGAAGCGCTCGTTCCATTAACCAACCAGCCTCGCTCGTCTTCTTCGTCCCACAGCACCACGAATTTTTCATGAATTCACTTGAGCTTTGGCCTTGTGTGAATGGGTGTATGTATGTGTCCGATGCTGAATGGAACACCACCGGTGACCAGTTGTCTCCTGCATAGGAGAACTATCCCGGAAGATAGCCGTCGTGAGATGGCAGGAGTCGAGACGGCTTTGTAGCATAACTGGCATCTACAGTCCATTTAATACAGCACCTGTTAGTTCAGAAAACTCTTGTATTTCCTTATGGCAGATTTCTAGCGAAGCATATAGCTTCTGCGCACCACACAAGAACTCGTTATGTCGTTTCCAAGCCAATTACGCAAGGTGTTGTCCAAGTAGGACATGAGGTTTCCGTCTTGGTTATGTACCAAGTGCCAGATCATCATATCTCCGTTACGTTTTGTTAGAACGAGAATGGCTAAAAACCACTTGATAAAGGGCTTGCTACCAAAGGTATTTCCCCGTTGGGTCTGACCAAGACCTGCCATCATATTAAGCGGAACCTGAAGACCAGCATTGGGCTTTACCCGTCTTGGTATCGGATAACCTCTGGGCATAGTTGGATTTCTGAATACCTTGGTGCCGGTACCAGCCCCGGGAAAGAAGGGGGGAAAAGGCCTGGTCTTGCCTTCTCTGAACTATGCAACTGATTTTGAAAGTCATGTCAGGAGAAGCCCGTCTTTCAGGTAGCACATTAACCAGACTATTGGCTTTGACATCGCTAATGAATGGTGTACAATAAGAGATGTCATATTCGTATATAAAACCAGAGAAGGCTGTGCTTAGCCATTCCAGCTGTTCGCCTACCTCTGCTATTGAATCCCGTGTCCCAACAGCCTCTAGTCCAAAAAAAGTGTCAATAATCCTTGCGATCAGCCTAGGTCTATCAGGGAACTCGCCTCAATAACTCATTAGCTATTTGTAACCAGGCATATGTCAAGTCATGGAACTTAGATGAGAGTTGACAGCCAGCGCCGTTTTTCACGACGCCTTGAAGTAGTTGAATTATATATTATCTAGTTAGCTAGTTCTATAGCCTTTTCTGGTTCCTCATGATATTCTTGCGCATTGAAAAACGCCAGGGGATGCCATTCCAACCTAAAAGTGATTTTGTACTTCTCTAAAGGACTCCATCGGCTGACTACACTCGTTGATGTTAGAGAGTTGATGATTTGGTCTCTGACAGTCACCATAACATTTGGTTCCGCTGGGACCAAGAAAAATTGCTTATGCAAACTAGGAAGAGGCCACTCGTAGGCGGGTGACTTTAAGAACAAATTTCTATATGCAAGAACTTCGGTCATATTGTCTTCTTATCTTTCTTTGTTATCCGCTGTTTATTTAACGCGGTCCCAGTCCCAGTCCCAGTCTAGCGAATTAACAATACTTCCTCCGTGCTTGCTATACGCAAGATCCTAGGTATCTGAAATGCAGGGAACGAGATGCGTCAATCCAAAGTTGCAAGCTAAGATCATGTGAACTCCGCTACCAAGTTCTTGCCACACGATTAGGGTGTTCAAGGCGAGGCGAACCAAATTAGCCTGCGGTCCCATGCCGGTGACAACTGCAGCTGGAACTACCTTGCTGCTTTTCAAAGCCATCATGCTTTTGGACTCTCGTCTCGAGCAGTAATCGGACTGGCTAGTCCTCGGACTCGATAATAACCCACGGGAATTTACGGTCATCTTCAGTCTATGTGACGGAGTAGTCGGCTATTTCATCTTCGCGTGACCGAAAACAATAACAGTGTCCAATCTGCGATATGAGATGGACGGCAATGTTGCTACACATGCATTCACAAAGGCCGCGGGGCAAACCGAACCAGATAGTATCGCGCAACTCGTAGACATGACACGCTTCTTGTCCCTCGCTGAATGAGACACGTGCTGTGCCTCCGTGGCGAGCGGTTCAGACGCAGCCACATCTGAGGATGATTCAGAAGCTGTCGTGATTCAACGTTCATATACTAATACCGAACTGTCGCGGCTGACGGTTTAAATCGTAAATGGCTATTTAGTCGATGGGAGCCTGCGACAAGGGCTTGATATCAAAGGCTTGGAAAGGCTTCAACTCGAAGATAATCGAGTACGATGTCAAAGGTCCTTGGTTTTCCAAGAGCGAGGGACAAGTAATCACTATATATACATAAAGGGAACAGCTGTGCCTAGGGCTCTTACTTAAGCACGTGTTTAATTTGTGTAACTAATAGGTCCTTTATCGGTGAAGCCCCTTTATCAAGCTTCACGATCTGTTGGGCCTTTTCCGTGTAACAGAGCCCGCTTCTATATTTGGGTCCCTGCTTCGTCGGGACCACAGCTGATGAGGTTTGAAGCGGGGTCCGTTTCCGGCGATCTTGGTGAGTTGCTGCACAAATGTTTATTCAGAGTGTGTACGCCTTAAGTGCTAGCTGCAAATGTCCAAGACGACCAGCCGATGAGCCGACGAGCATTGGCCCTGGGCAATCCCAGACAGCAACACGGAAGCCTCGGCTGCTATTTCTGTCCCAACATGATGACTTGGTATAGATTCGCCCTGAAAGACGTCCCTCGGTCACTGGCAACAAAGACCAAATAAGGACAAAGATGATTGTAGTCGAACGAGTCATCAGAACTCCCCCCAAACATGGGGGGAACAGAAGATACTCCGCGAGGCGGCGAAATAACCAGACATGGTTGAGGCTCAGCTCAAGGTCATAAGGCATCAATCAATTGACCTTTCTTGTCCGCGGCTGCATTGCCATCTCTTTATGCAATGCATTGGCATTCAGTGGTGACAGTCGGGTTTTCAGTTTGGGTCAAGGATTGGACCCCTTCGGACTGCAACATGTTCCAGCCCACCTCCTGCTTTCTCTTTGCCACGTCTTGTGCATTGAGCTTGAAACAGGGAGCCGGCGTCAGCTGCTGGTGGCTGAAAGGCTTCTTCAAGCCAAGTCGATCAAGATCAACATGACCCCAGATGATAAAATGCGGAACGTTGGGGCCGCGTCATAGCCAATATCTTGTCGGTATCGGTGTCAATATGGGCATGCAATGTTGAGCGGTAGAGTGCCGGTTGCGTTGTGCTGCTGTATTCGATGATGAACTTGTCTGGTCATCTTGGAGCTCGACAGTTTCCGTGTTCAATAAGACATGAGGAACGACAGACAGGGTATTTGACTCGAAAGTCCTTTGGATTGGTGAACTTGTTATCTCTTTCCTTTCCCCCGTAGAAGGTTGTACTGGCCGGACGCACATCGGGCTTGATCGGACGAAGGATAAGAAGCCCATGCCAGGCATTCTTCCCGACCGCGCTCATGTCCTCTCACGAAGCTATTTTGTCATTTGCCAGTACCAAAATAAGTTTTGCAAGAGTTATAGCCCAGCATTGCCAGCTACACTCGGGGAACATTACCAAGATTTCAACATCTAAAGCGCGCGAAAGGGCAGATCCATCTCATTGCCTGAAGAAACGAACCAGCTCAGTCAGTTGGTCAACAACAAGTTGCATTTGAGCGCCTTCACTGGGCACGGCTTGTAAGTGTGAATCTCCATTCATACCCATGTTAGCTGTGCATATATCTGCATCTCGATCTCCGCCACGTATAGTCAGCCGGACAAGGGCAGTAGAGACAACGCACACTGCGGGAGACTGCCACCGTAAATTGGGACTTGGCGCAGATGCGATGCAGCAAGTGCAAAAAGCATGCATGTCCATGAAGATATAGCTATTGGCCTTTTCGACAACCTGGATATCAAAGGGACATGAAGTCTGTCGATATCGGCAAAATGGGAAAGGGGTACCTCAACATGGCAACATCCCATGAGCATTATACCAAAAGTTCCATGCACCAAAACTTATTTTTGCTGAAGCTATAAATGCCTCTCGTTGTGAAGGGAGTCGGGTATCAGGCATCTCTGCGAGCTCTAGTGACATGCCCTGCTATTGCAAGCGTCGGACACGCCGAGACAACCAAGGTTGGGCTTGCTCCCCCCGTCCGCCTTTAGACAAATGGGTCATGCTAAACGGCATTATCCATTAAACTATTTTCGCATCGACAAAAAGTGTTCTTCCCGCTGAGCAATAGCAGAGAAGTGTGTAAATCAAAAGCACTATCCTGCCGAAGGCTGCAGGTCAGGCACATTAGCGCCTTTGCGGTCATTGGTCGTGGATGCTGGAGGCTTGGGGAGCCTTGCGCAGGGAGGGATGTCTGTGGAAACCAGGCACTCAGAAAATATGAGGTATTGCATGGGGTACGGGATATATGTACCTCAGAGCTTTTCGGGGTGAGGGGGGAAGCGGCACGGCACCAGAAGCCCGGCACGGGATATGTGGCAGGCAGGTGGACGAAGTTGAACATGAGTACCAGATTCTGTTGATGTATCGTCAAGGTGTTTTCGATATTCTGCAGCGGGAATTAGCTCAGGGCGCCGCGCCAGCCACCATGTCCGCTGGCGGAGCTCCCTCCAATGAACTTTGTTCACGCAGAGAAAGCTCCAGTGTTGCTCCGGCCCCAATGGCATTCGAGCCTCATGAGAGGTCCCTTGAGTGGAAAAAAACGTTGTATTATATCAACTCTCGGTGTGCAGGCTGTGGATCGGTGGGAGCTGCAAAACGCGAACTATCATACGGACGGTGTGACTAACCCGTGGGCATTATGTCGGTTGTACGGAGTAGTCTGTGGCAGAACACATTTGCTGTTAACAATTGCACTGACAAAATAGTATTATCATATGGGCACAACAGCCAGGTACCTGGTCTGGTCAAATACCTATTACCTACTTAAGTACTTAAGTAGGCACCTAGGTCGGTACGTTCTGCCTCCTCCTATCATGTTGGTGCCGTATGGGAGAACACTGAAGCTCAGACTCAGACTTGGTGGACATGGCCCTGGGTCCCTGACACTGCAATGTTGGGCCGCCATGTCCCGAGTTGTTTCGCTCGTAGGCAAGGGTCGGTATCGACAGGGCGGACGTCGTTATTCATTCATCAACGGTACGGCGGCGTTGCGAACCAAAGCGCGTTTGGGACATTTGGTTTATGGAGTCTGGTCTTTGGTCTCCAAGGGCTCGACAGCGTGGTGTAGTCTGGTCTGCACGTTGAGACTTGGTGTGAACAATTCGAGTCGTCTACCGTTGCATGTGACTAAAAAAAGGGTTGTGGCGGGATGCTTGCAATTGAAAATAGCGCCAGGCTTTAAATGTTGAGCATGGTACGGAGTACGGAGCAAGTTGACGATGCTCTGCAGTCACCACCAGTGCCTCCTTCCGTCCATGGTCTGCTGCGGCTTGCGCGCTCCTGCCCCTGTTTGTCATATGCCCCCTGTCCCCCAGGTGCCCCCGTTATCCCGAATCTGGCCATGGGCTTGCTGTTCGAAATCCAAACTCCTTTCAACATGAAATGAGCACATTTTTCATTGAGCATCCAGCATCAAGATGCGAAAAATTCGACTTTGGCAAGCGTTGGCTCTGGCTACACGGCTCCAGAGGACGCCGCCGCTAGGGCAGCCTCCGGCCTGCGTCATCCCTTGGCATCTCGGCTCGTGGATGTACTCCGTACGGAGTAGGTGGATTGAAGACGCAAGGCCTCGATGGAGATCAACTGTGGCACCCACCCATCTCCAGATTGACACCTCACCACTCACACTACAGCGCAGATTGGCACGCCACCGGTTAATCAATGATACCAAGCCACCCATGGGTCGCGGTTTGCAGGGTCCTTCTTAGTTGGGACCAGGGCCTCAGCAGCCTCGAAATTCTTGGCCTCCAGTCGTGGCCTGCCAGTCCACCGGTATCATTCGGCGCTTGGGGGCACCGGCATGTTCCTCTGCCGACTCGACTCGACTCGACGCGACGTGCGCTGTTGGTCGTAAACCTCTCGACCCGTCAGCTACTGGAGCCACCTTTTTTCCCTTTCCCTTCTGCTTTCTGGTGAAGTCTGGGGCTTCAACCGCAGCCTTGCCCTTGTACGACAAGTCCCGTGCTTGTTCCAGGTCAAGCCTCACAAGCCTCATGCTCGCTGCGCCGAGTTCGCCTTTGCTTTCTCGCTTGTACATATCTTATCGCGTCTATCTTGGCCGGAGTAGCCCTTGCAGGGGAAGGGGACCGAATATCGTTGCCACTCTTGAGCAGCAGCACCAACAGGAACGAACAACGCCGCTCTCCGAACCCGCATACGGCCTCCTGCGCTTGAGCACCCCAGAGGCGCCTGTTCTCGACCAGACCCTCGTTCCTGTTTTGATCCCTGTCCGTTGACAGATTTCCTTGTCCACTTGAGAGCCCAGTCCCACGGGTCCAACCCGCCCAAAGTGTCCAACAGGGCTCTCTCCGAGAACCACTTGGGCTTGAACACCCCTGCTGCATCTTTGCAACTTGGCTCTGTCATTTTTTGATCGCTCCTCTTTTTTTTCTGGTCCTTTCTCGCAAATCTTCTTTGTTAGAAATTGTCAGTCCTTTCACCTGTGATATGGTACGACTTTGCTAGCTATTGACTAGCCTGGGCCGGATAGTTTTTGCGCTCAATCAGGAGATTCCATCCGTGGCACTACGTTCTGGTGGTCGGCGGTCTAAACTCCACAGCCCTGATTAAAGCTCGAACCTTGCCTCAATCACGACGCTTTCCTCTCAAAATCCTGAGCCAGCTACCCAGTCTTGCAGTACCGCGAACAGTCTTGACTTGGCAATAACTCGTTGAGAAAAATTGACGCAAAGAAACTGGCTCCCGTTCGACTCGGGACGTTCCAGCTGTCAAGTTGCCACCCATATTTCAAGGTCGCATCGGATCAGCATAGTTCAGCCTCATCTCATCTCACCTACCAACACCACACACCAATAGCCCGTGAGTGTCCAGGGTCCTGACAACATCAACATGGCACAACACCCAACCCTCAAGGCAACGTACGCCTCTAGGGCTCAAACGGCCACTCACCCACTCAATGCCTACCTTTTCAAGCTGATGGATCTGAAGGCGTCGAATCTATGTTTGAGCGCAGATGTCACTACCGCCCGAGAGCTTATCTACGTTGCGGACAAACTTGGCCCGTCCATTGTCGTTCTCAAGACACACTATGATATGGTCTCTGGATGGGATTTCCACCCTCAAACCGGCACCGGCGCAAAGTTGGCTTCATTGGCTCGTCGTCATGGATTCTTAATCTTTGAGGACCGCAAGTTTGGTGATATCGGCAATACTGTGGAAATGCAGTATATTGGCGGCTCCGCTCGAATTATTGAGTGGGCGCATATCGTCAACGTGAACATGGTACCTGGAAAAGCTTCGGTGACCTCGTTAGCAAACGCTGCCACTCGATGGTTCGAGCGATATCCTTACGAGGTCAAGACGTCAGTTTCTGTGGGCACTCCTACCGCAGAGGAGTTTGAGGACCACGATGTAGGCTCTAGCGGTCGCGACGACACCAATGACAGCGCGCCTAGACGGACAGATGACGGACGAAAGGGGAGCATTGTTTCCGTTACTACTGTGACGCAACAATATGAGCCCGTGAACTCGCCACGACTGACTAAAAACATGGCTGGTGATGACGAAGTCCTCTTTGCCGGTATCGAAGAAGCGCCCATGACCCGAGGATTACTTATTCTGGCACAAATGTCATCGGCAGGCAACTTTATGAACAAGGAGTACACGCAAGCATGCGTGGAAGCTGCCAGAGAACACAGAGACTTTGTCATGGGATTTGTTTCACAAGAGGCTCTCAACACACAAGTCGACGACCAATTTATCCATATGACGCCTGGCTGCCAGCTGCCGCCTCAGGACGATGACCGGAACGGATCCGTCCAAGGCGATGGCAAGGGGCAGCAATACAATACACCTCAGAAGATTATCGGCATTGCCGGAGCAGATATCGTTATTGTCGGTCGCGGCATCCTCAAGGCAAGCGACCCCGAAGGCGAGGCAGAACGATACCGCTCGGCAGCATGGAAGGCATACACGGAGAGAGTTCGCTGAATGCGACGGTAGGAAGTGGCTTCCCAGAAGCGTCATATCGACGTACAAGAGGAAATGTCAGCTTGATTTGTCAATTTTACATGTGTACGTTTGATTTCTTCATAGTCTATGCAAAAGTGGGACAGTGGTGTTTATGTTGGGTAGCAAAGTGGATTCAATATTGGGCGAATGTTTTACTCGGTTGGACACAAAAGTATGTGATGGGTCTGGAGGAAGATGAGGAACGAGACACGGAAGTAGTGAGCCGGTTGGAGAATTAAATGGACGAGATCTTGGTTGACGGGTACGTACTGCCAGAGATGCGAGGACAGGGACAACGTTGAAATACTTGGCTTATGTTTTTACGAATATTGTCTTTCTGAACAGCGTGAATAGTGTTTGCAAAGATACTTTGCACTGCAACCACAGAGGTAGCATGGATTACCTTATTCAAACTGGTCCCATCTGCCGATGCAGTCGGAAATTTTACGTTGGTTGCGAGGATGGCACCACTCGGCATCTCTCCACATTTCTTTCAGGCTCGCGTGATGTGCGAAAGTCGCCAAGGTGTAACTACTTAAGTACTTGACACCACTGTATCTTGTGGTCTCCCGCAGCCAGCCTCGGTCTTGGTAGTCCCCCACACCTGACACCCCGTCAACATCGAAAGGAGTTCCCGGTACTCCGTAGCCAGCAGTACCAAGCCAGGGGCGCTGAAAACGGGCTGGCGGGCGCCTGAATGGCCCAGATGGGTGGTTGTGGTGTGCGCGGCATGCAAGAGCCTGGTTCAAAATGTTCCATTGCGGACAACTCGGTACGGCTTCGTGGTTAACTGGTGGACACATGAACCACCAGACCAGTTGACATCTAATGCAGTGCTGGCCCGGAGCCCCTCACTGTTCAATGTTCAATGTTCAATGTTGACTCCGGCCCCACCAGCCGGTAGCGACAATCTGACTTTCAGCTTGGATGGGCAACGGTGACGGTTGACATGTCACCTCAACTCAATTTTGACTTCCATGTACGTACGTCATGCCCGGCTTCGCACCGTACATGCCGACGCAGAAGCTGCATCTCTCAACAGATGAGTGCTTTGAAAGCTGCCGCTGGACAGGAAGGCACGGGCCGGTAGAAATCGTGAGACTACTCGGACGTTGAGGTTGATGGCCTGCCTTGGCTCCTGGCTGAGTGGTGAGGTATCGTCAGTTTGCGTACAGAGCCGATCCAAGCCATGGGCGATTCGATGCTCGAGACAGAGGCTCCAGTGCCGTCCGGAAAGGGCCCTCCTAAGAAGAGGAGGAGGGTTGTTGTGTCGTGTACCGAGTGTCATAGGAGGAAGCAAAAGGTACTCCGTCAACGCCCTCTCCCATGTCATCACCACATTCCACTCTTCAGCGCACCCAACATGGCAATTCAACTCACCTAGTCACGGCATATCCCATCATGACACTAAACACTAACATGGCCAGTGTGACCGAGAGCTTCCTTGCGCAAATTGCCGCTCTAGAAACCGTGAAACATTCTGCTCTTACGACCCGAGTGCCTGTACATCCGACAACGGGAACACCACCAACAACAACATCAACAACAGCCTTACCACCAAGATATCACCATCCACCCAAGTGCCCCAAATCTCGGCATCTTCAACTACCCCAAAAGTTACAGAACCGCTGTCTGCCATGGCCGCAACATGGGGCTACGGCCAAACTGGAGCATCGACCATCTCCTTTCTCAAGAAAATCGAAACGGCCCCCTCATCCGACGACCAATCTTCACTCTCTACGCTCTCACTAGCCTGCACCTCCCGCCAAGACTCCTTTGCTGTGCGCGAAAGATACAAGGACCTCATACGGCATCTTCCTGCCAAGGTCTTCATCGACAAGCTCGTGGCCATGTGTATGCGCGAATTCAACTGGCAGTACTACTTTGTCGACCCGGACGTTTTCTTCGCCCAACTCCAGGAGTGGAATAACCTCCCGTTTAGTATATTCTCCACCGAAGGACCACGGGGTATTCCTCCTGGCTTGAGGGTTTTCCCGGCCGTCCTGTTCCAAATGATTGCCGCGGCTTTACTGGTCCTTCCGGACGACGAGGAAGAGGAGTTTGTGACGTTGAAGTATGCCGCCAACATGACTTTTGAGGACTTGGCGTGTGATTACAGTGCTAGCGGGGCGGAAATTGTGGGATTGTTTGGGAAGAAGGGGCTGAGTGTTACGACGGTTCAGGCCGAGTTTCTAAGAGCTTGCTTCTTGAAGTATACTGCTAATGTTACTGAGTCGGTTAGACACCCTCCGCCCCCTTCCTCCCTGTTGAGCATTTCGACATGTTTTGGTAGGTTCAAGATTAACGAATGGCGTAGTGGCACATGATTGGAACTGCTATCAGAGATGCTCAAGAGTTGGGCATGCACCGGGATAGCCTCGATCCTAAGCCCACAGAAACAAGTTTGGAGAGCGTTATTGAGAATCAGTGGCTTATCGAGCGACGGCGCAAGATGTACATGATTCTCGCAATGTGGTATGTTGCGTTGCCACCCTATCCACTCCCCCCTCTCCGCGGTAACAAACAAAACAGCTGCTAACAACTCAGGGATATCAACATGTCTCTAATACTAGGCCGACCCGGTACCGTGGACTGGCGCCACAGCATCCCATCCCTCCCAATCGACACTCCAGTGCCATCCAACCGCTCGAATACTCCTATCGCTCCTCGGAATCCGGAAAAGGACCCTCCTACTCCTTTGACTCGTTGTCTTTGGTTACACGAAATAACTTTGCCCTTACGAGATATCCAGGACCTCGAACATGAGGGTCCCTACCCCAGGGATTTCTCCAAAATCGACAGGGTTCACCAGAAAATCATGACTCTCCATGAATCAACGCCCGCTATATTGAGGCTGAAAAATCCTGACACGCGCTGGGATAACGACCCCGAGGTGGAGGGGTGGATAGGGGCGACACGATACTACTTCCACTTCATTCACAACTTCACTCTCATGGCCTTGCATCGACCATACCTGTTCCATAGGAAGGAGAGTAGGTTGGAGGCATTGACAGCTGGTTTGGCCATGCTGGAGATGCAGAGATCAATGTTTGAGGGCCTACCTTCTACATCCTGGAGAAAGTGAGTTCTGTCGGTGAGGAGTTTCCACGCGAACGTGGGCGAGTGAAAGAGAAGCCGCGAAATGCTAACGAGCCCTAGTTTTATGCTCTTCTTTGGAACATTCGACGCCATCGTCCTCGTTGCCTCTGTATACATCCTCTTTCCGCACGACCACCCAGAACACAGGCAACTATCCGTTCAACATATCCACTGGGCCATAGAGCGTTTTGTGACAATGCAGCATCGCAATCCCCTCGCCAAGGCCGCACAGGGTGTTCTCCGTGCCATTTTGGGCAAATTCACAAAAGCGCTTGCTCATTCTGCCTCGCCTTCCAAAACTTGCATCACGCCAGCCTCCACGAGGGGACCTTCGGACAATACGCCTGCCAGCGGGTCCGCGAGACTGGATGCAAATGCAAACCCAGCACCTATCTGGCCAGTTAGTTCACTCCCAGGCGCAAGCATGGCGAAGAGTGCAGTTGAGGGTGAAGATGCGGGAAACGCCAGGCAAGACACGCCGGGCGAGACGTGGCTGTCACCCAGCGAATGGGCCTTTGCGCCAGATGGTCTGTCGAATATCATGCCGACGTTTGCTATTTCAGATTTGATATACAATGACCTTACCGCGGTGCAGGACGGTGGCGGCATGATGGCGGCTGCTGAGATGGCTCCCAGCGAAGGGGGGGCGCCAGAGTGGCAGTTTGGAGGGGATATTGCCGAGGGTACGCTTTGGCAGGTGTTGAACAGGTTTCAGCCCAGATGATGGCATGCATAGAGCGGAAGAGCGGCAGTTGAAAACTGCAGCCGCAGTTACAAGGGCCATGTCGGGCGGCTTTCTGCGGTTTTGGACATTACTGGCGAGGGTTGCATATTTCTCCTACCTTGATCGTGATTGGGAAATAACGTCTCTCGCTATTCTCTGGGGGAAGTGCCGTCCTGAGTATAGGGCTCGGACGCAATTTGATAGGACGGCGATCTCGACGTACTCGGGTATGCATCAAGGAATTACTCAGATGGCTGCCAGCAACCAACCGTGGCGTTTGCGGGGGTAAAGATGAAACGCACGGCAAGATGCCAAGGATCTGACTTCCAATATAGGCGCGCTTACCTTGACATTTTACTTTCCTATGCAAATGGAAATGTTTCCCAAGAACCGTGGCGATGTTTATACACCACCTAAGCCATCGGGGGCTATGCTGCATGCAACTCCAAGGCCTGGTATCCCGACCGGAGAGCGATGCGATACGCTCCTGCGAGTATTTCTCGGCGGTGTTCTTCATTGTAAGCCCCGTGCTCACGGGTCCATGAATTGGTCAATGACGCTTGATGTACTTTGACGGCGTGCAAAGTGCGACGGGCGCTTGCAAGAGCGTCACCTGGACATGCATAACCTTTGTGTGCTGCCGGGCGCCTCCCAGACACAATATGTAAATCCAGCACACCACAAAACCCAACGAAACAACAACGGCTCCGAAAGGCCGCAAAACCCCATGCAGTCAGCTGCAGACAACGAATACATATAAAAAAGCATGTAACAAAACGCATCGCCCATGTCGCGAATCAAGTTTTGCACGTCAACGACTAGGGTCCCCCATGAAGCGGTCAGGGAACAATGACGCATAAACGTCAAGCAGCAGAACAAGGCACAATGAGAAAGACCAGCCGGTTGCCCCCCGATCGAAACGCCAGAGTGGCACGGAAGGCAGCGACGTGTGAAAGCAGGGGTGGTGACAAACGTCAGGCTCGTTTGGTAAAAGAGACATGCAAGCCGGGCGGTTGGCTCGCGGGTGGTGGTTGTACGAAAGATGCTTTGTGCTCTATGTAGTCCGTATTCGTGATAGAACTCGATACTGTCCTGGTTGCAAGGCGGGCGGCTTGCAGGCGCGTAGAGGCCGGGCGGGCGACAAGACAAACATCGGGAGTCGCAGCAGATGTGACGTTTAGGAGAAAGGGGGAGGCACAGGCCTTTGATTGGAGGAGCTTGAAAGGCGGTCGGTCGGCAAGGCGCCGTGCTGCGTGGTTAGGGTTTGGTTTGGGCTGAGAGTCGCTTCCTGGTGTTTCATTGTAGTGAGCGAGTGCGTAGCGAGTTGCATTGTGCCTTTGCGTGGCAGAACGAAGGCGATGGGAAGCGAGGCGCAGCATCGACGTGACGCTGCAAGAAGATGATATTCATCGACCAGACCTAATATTTGATGGCTTGGGTGGCCGACGATGGACGTAGCTGGATCACTTCGGGTACTACACGAGGACGGGGCAGCAGATTGGGCCCCACTGTGCCGCCCGCATCCCGCATCTTGATTGATTGCCTCCCGGTGAGGCCATGCAACCCTGGGCCACCCCTCCAGCCGACACAAGCCAATGCACGCAGCCGCTGGCCCCCAGGAATAAGTCCAGAAATGCAGGGGTGGAAACACTGATGCCGCCGGCCTCTCTTATCGGTCGCCTATCAATTTTTAGTCTTTTTTTTTTTCCTCTTCTTGCCTAAAATCGCTGAAGGGGGGAAAAAATACAGGTCGACATTCCAAAAATAAAACAAAACCACTCGTCTTGTTCTCGCTTGCTTTGACTCTTTTTAAAAGGCTTCTTCTCTCTGCTTGCGTATTTCTACACGCCTGGAACTGCGATTTCGCCAGGCTTTCAGAATCGGAACACAAATATATTATACCCTCCTCGACTGCGCCCTCCCCTTCTTCATCAACCCCCCCCCAGGTGTCTCTGTTACCCCAGCCTGCTTTGAACCCAACCGTGGTCGTTGGGTGGCGTCGTATTGAAGCTTTTTATTTTATTTTATTTTTGCCCTCTTCCTGTCGCACAGCAGCCGGCCCTGTTGAGCCTTCTGTTTCCCCCCGTCTCGTCGACCCCGGACTGAGTCTTGGAGCTGACCAGGGTGTGAACGGGCACATGTGCACATTAAAATTATAATCTGTGTACTCCGTACTCCGTATTGTAATAGAGAGCACGCTTTTGCCCAACTATTAATACTCTTTATTCATCTCATCGTCACCTCCTCTTCCCCTCGCGCGTGCCCAAAAAATTTCATCTCGGCCAAATGTCTGCCCTAAAGTCTCAGGACAGAAACCACCACGCGCCTTATTACGACTCTTCAGACAAGATGTCGGCAGGATCGAATCTTGTGGATTTTTTCCAGCGCTTTCAGGGCATACAGCAGCAAAGGGACACGTCAGATCTGTTGATTCGGGTTGGTGGCATGGCATTCTGCGAGGCACTTGACTGAGATTTCGCATGCTAACGCCCCGTGGCAGGATATCCTCGTGTACTGCGACAAGCTCGAAACCGCCCTGCGATTCCAGAACCAGCAACTCGTCGACGAGCTTAAAGAGTGCAAACGCGACAAGAGAGATTTGCAGACCCAGCTGAAGAATAGCGAGGCGAGAACTGATTGGGTAACCAAGGAAATCGAACAAATCAGGGTATGGCGATGCTCTCGTTGGCGACGCTTTGCGCTGAGACTAAAATTTTGAACAGGACCACAATGCGTACATTCTTGTCATGATTGACGGCGACGGCCTGCTGGTATGTACAACTGAGCACGACACGCTCGTGAAGAAACCCCAAGCGCTAAACGCAGACACAGTTCCGCGACCAATGGATCAAGCAAGGCGTCGAAGGCGGCAGGAAGGCTGCTCGCGAGCTTCGAGACGCCATTACTGCTCAGTGCGGCGAGCATGCCGACGTCGAGATTATTACAAAAGTGGTGGCCAACTTTGGCGGCCTGGCCAAGTCCTTGGGCCGCGACCTGTCCGACCTGAAGGATTTTGCTTCGGGCTTCACCCAAGGCGAGGCAACATTCGACTTTATCGATGCTGGACACGACAAGGACTGTGTCTCGTCCAAAATCAAGAGTAAATGCTGCGCTTTTCCCAGAACAAGGACAAGGTCCCAAACCAGTTGCTGACCCGGCCCGCAGATAATATACAGTTTCACCTTGAAAACTACAACTGCAGACATATTCTCCTGGGCGTCTCCCACGATCCCTCATACGCTCCCTTGCTGGAAAAGATTGCCCAAAACGACTTTTCCCGCCATCGCATGACCATCATCGAAGGCGTCCCCACCGTCCCCGAGCTCGTCGCCACCAGCATCCCCAGCATGGATCTGGGAAGGGACCTTTTCCGCAGCGACAAATGCCCCGATAGAAGTACGTCAGCCTGGCAGCTTGGCAGCTGGGTAGCCGGACCTAGGACTGCCAGCCCTGCCACTAGTATCGGATCAGCCAGCACGCCAGGCCGCTCATCATTATCATACGCCAACGCCGCGAGCAGCAACAGCAGCCCCCCTCCCCAGATTTCGCTCCCCATCGCCCCCAAGCCCGCCGCCAGTCGAGCCCCCAAGGCGCAGTATCAGCAGATTCCCCCCCAGCAGCCCGACTGGGATCCCGGCCACCGCGGGCTGGACGAGCCCATCACCGTCAGCGTCTTGGCCATGGAGAGCATCAAGAAGCGCAAGGAGTCGGATAAGCTGTGCAACAACCACTTTTTGCGAGGGCCCTGCACCAAGGGTGACTCGTGCTTCTTTGTCCACGACTACAAGCCCAGCAGCGAGGAGATTAATGCCATTGCCGTGTTGGCTCGTCAGAACCCGTGTACAAATGGGCAGGACTGCGAGTCTGACGAGTGCATCTACGGCCATCACGTACGTTTTTTTTTTCGTCTTTTTTTTGGCCTTTAATCCTCTTGTCTATTAGTCTATGCCCCGCGTGCATGTACCTCGCATGTTGCTAACTGCAATTCCTCCTCAATAGTGCCCCAGCATCCGCGACAACGTCTGCATACACCCCTTTTGCAAATTCCCCGAGGAGGCTCATCCCCCAGGGACAAAGTTCAAAAATCCAAGCATCAAGGCAAACCAAATACGATGAAATGAAGATTAATTACACTCATTACAGTCATTACAGTACTATACATATATACATATACATATATATGAAGCAAGGGATCGTTTTTTAAGCTTGGCGGAAAGCGGTTTCACAGGAACTAGGTAAACAGCACACTTTGCTAGGCGGGGACGACGTAACTGCAGATTGCGCTTTGGTCTGGCTTGACGGGGCTCATTTTTCTCCTTGGCTAGGGGGTTTCTGTGTATAGTAGTTATGGGACTGACTATCTATATTCTTATTATTCCATCGAGGCTGAGCCTGTGACGCTTTTGTGAACGTTGGCATCAATTTTGTGTGAGGCGGGCGGGGAGCAAAAGCTTGGTATCGGCGGTCATCTTGGCTCATGTCAATTTGTGGAGCGGCCTTGCTCATCCACGCCCGCGCTTTTGGGCATTGCCTTGTTCCGTCGTGGAGGTGGTGCCTTGCCGTGTTGCCTGCGCAGGGGGCGGGTGGTGCAAACAGTTTCGGCTGGGTGATTGTCTTGGACTTGGGACGTGTTTTGGCGATTGGCTGCGCTGGGCTGCGCTGGGAAATGGATATGGGAATTAGTAGTTGGGCGCGTTGATGTCCTGGTTGGCTGGGCCTGGTGAATCTGGATGTTTGGCAGAATGCGAACCAGGGAAAAAGAAGCACCGCGAAAGACCATTTACAAATTCCGGGCTTCTTCTTTTCCCCTTGCTCAACCTGCTCACTACCTTGTCCCAAGTATCAAGTCCAAAATGCTATCCGGGTCCTTCTTGTTTGAGGCAAGGTCAAGTGCTTACTGAACCAGAGGACGTATAGCATTTCGAGAGAATTGTTAGTTGGAGGTCCAGCTGTGGCGAGGGTGCCACGTGTGATTCTGACCAAGAATTTAACAAGTCAACTATTCAGCAACAGATCAATTGATGGTAATGTTTAAACTCGACTTGCTTGTACTCGGTAGCATGGCCGTTTCCCCAAGTAGGGCTAGCGCCATTCTGTCTGCCAGGCCCCCACCATTTGACCACCTTGGATCAAATTCGGAGCTCAACACCAACCTCACTTCATCACCACATCGGTGGGCATCCAACCAGCCCAGCTGTCCTACCACGTCCCCATCGTCACCTCGATTCCTCGATCCGTCCCACTGTTGCTAGTACACTCAAGATGTCTCACCCACGGGTAGAAGAAGTCTCCGACAGCGACCCGGACGTGGCGTCCGACCCCGAGGAAGGCGACATTGACGACTTTATCGACGCGGACATCATGCGCCGCATACCCCAGCAGCAACCGCCGTCCAGATCCTCTGCACCACCAGCCTCCGCCCCCTCAAACCTGCCCAGCCAAATGCTGGGCCCCGACGCCGACCGCTCCGCCTACTCCTCCTTCCAGTGCATCTACCCAGTCTACTTTGACGCCAGCCGCACCCTCTCCCAGGGCCGCCGCGTGCCGGCCTCGCTCGCCGTGCGCAGCCCCCTGGCGCGCGAAATCGCAAACGCCTGCTCCCGCCTCCGCCTGCCCACGCTGCTCGAGCCGGAAAAGACCCATCCCAAGGACTGGGCGAACCCGGGCCGCGTAAAAGTCGGCCTGAAGCAGACGCCCCAGAATCCGTCGGGCATCAAGAGCAAGCACCACCTGTACATTTTGATTGCCAAGCATTTGCAGCAGAACCCCACCACGGAGAACTCGCCCGGGCTGAGGGTAAGGATGGGCGGGCAGGTGCAGCCGCCCGAGGGGAAGCCGTACCCCAAGCCCGCGGTGCCGCGGGGCTGGAAGATGAGCGAGTACTTGCCGTATTTGAGTCCGGCCATGACGGGCGGCGGCGTGTCGGAGAATTTGTTCAAGGACATGATGAAGGAGATGCAGAGCGGGGGGGATCCCATGAGTGCCTTGATGGCGGGTGCTGCTGGGCACGGGGGGGACGAGGGGAGTGCGGGATCCGGCGGGAAGAAGAAGAAGGACAAGAAAGGGAAGGGGAGGTCATGATGAAGGCCCGGGAGGGGGTGTCTCTTTTTTTTTATGGTGCTAGAGGAATAATGTGTATATGATCTGGGCGAGACTCACGACACGGTGCCCCATCAAAACATGAGATGATGAAAATGGCACGGCCAGCTATAGAAGAGCCGTGGGTTTTTAAGAAAAGCAGTTGCAAAGGCATAAGGGACAATGAATCATACAATGGTCATTATCAGTACTATATCGGTCTAGAATGTGCATGGAAGCTCCGCGTACCAAAATACTTGGACCGCGTTTGCACAAGTTATCTTCCTCAATAATGGTATGTTTTCCTCTGTTGCTTTTTGCTTTTACACGAATATAAAACCGGGCTCGTGAGACTGGGCAAGTCTGCCCCTTTATGGCACCAACAAACTTTGAACCACAATGTTGGAACTTGGCGTCTCAGGAGAGGACGACCGGCCATGTGCAGCTGGGACTGCGCGTGTCCAAAAGGGATGAGAAGAAGTGGAAACGGCGGTTCTCAAGAGGCCGAGTGTCATGGTCCATCGCCATAGTCTCGTTCTGGTGGCTCGATCCTCAACACATCACCACTGCCGGAACCGCTCGACTGTGCATTTTGCACTTGACGGTTTGGCCACATGTACGAGTTCCCTTGGTCTTTGGTTCTGTCCCAGTCTGTATACCTACCTAATTAGGTGTTTATGCTTATTCCTATTCCACGACATACCAAGATATAGTAGGTATACAGGGAGCGTATGCAAGAAGGAGCAATTTGAGTTCCCTGCCGATTCCCATTCTCGATAAGGTATATCGAACAAAGAACCCCATCGTGGAGAATTCTCAATCCCGCTGAGCAGATGTCGGCTCCTGAAATAGCCCTAACCCAGGTATATAATCTGACTCTAACCTTGACCCTCATGCATATCTCTAACCCTCGCCCCTGTTAGATACATTCTACCTTGATCTCGAGCAGGAAGTGGATATCCCCTAGCTCACTCATAACGGCCTTTCAAGCGGGGAGCAGATGCTCTGTTCTAGCACCAGCGGCGAAGCGTTCCTCTGAAGCACCGCCGCAAAACGTGCGGCCAATGCCGGCAACAAGTTGACAACCACGCAACGGCTACACAAACCCCTTGAGCCAGGCTAGGGCAGAGAAAAGAGAAAAACACGGCTCCTATTCAACATTCCCGCAAGTCTTACACCCCCCTTCCCCCCACAAGATACCACGAGATACCACAAGTATCTTCCTGTCCCCAGCCTACTCAGGTACCCAACTCAATTTCAACATATTCACAAGACCGTCCCTGATCATGAGTCATTGACCGCCCGGTTCGGCCCTCTCCCAGCCTCGACAACGCAAGTCGTCGACACAAGACTGAACTTTATAAACAGGCATCATCCCCCGAACAATCACAAGAGCGGAAAAATGAAAAAAATGAAAAAACAAAATACCGGGTACTCGTGCGATCGCGGCGGCACAAGGTTCAGCCAGCACCGAGATCCAGTCTTTTTGGCTTCGGCGGCGGTGACAAAACTTATACACCGGAGAATCGTGATGCGGTGACCACAGCAAGCCTCTTGATTTGAGTTTCCATCTCTTCATGTATATGTTTTACGAACATGAACAGATCATGACACCGCGCATGTAATATACACCAGTTCTGGGTTCGTGGGTTTAGGGTTATTCCGGCTAGGAAGCCGTTGACGCTACGAGGACGCCAGGCACATGGCGTGATATCGGGTGTAGATTCTCTTTTTACACGCTTGACGTGACTAGAATGACTGGGGAATCCCCCGACGCAGATCACCCCGCGCGACTACTATTTGTGGCTTTATACACGGGTTCGGGTCTCCCGGGGGATTGGGGGAACCGGGCTTTTAGGGGTCCAGGCGGTTTTGCTGGAGGCTTTCTCGGCTCGGAGCTAGAACGTTGCGTAGGGCCAGGTTCTTGTTCCTGGCGCGGGCGGGGGGGCATGATGGCTGGACTTGTTTAGGGGCTGGTGGCCACGTAGCAGGCGGGGGAGAGCTGCTGTTGTTGTTGTAGTTGATGGTGATGATGATGATGATGATGCTGTTGTTGGCGGTGGTGGTGGTGGTAGTGCTGCTGCTGCTGCTGGCATTGACATCACTCTTAGTATTGCTGGAAATACTCATGTTACTGTTCCTTCTAATGTAGCTGTCAATATTGATGTTGATGCGAATGTTGATACCGATGCCAATGCTGATGCCAATGCTGATGCCAATGTTGATGCCAATGTTGCTGTACATATTGGTCTTGATACCGATGTTGATATTGACATTCATCTCCTGCGCGCCATACAATGTCCAATCGTACGTGTCTAATTATCCTATATCAAGATTGAATCCGTCAACTCGAGTCAGAAATGTCTGGCACGCAGTTGTTCCAAGTCCATAAAGCCCACGGAAGTTGGAACGACATCAACCCATCTTGCTCCCCCTTTGCTCCTACATGCATGCCATATACAGCAAACAGCAACACACGGCATGCTCGCACATCTTCACCACAAGGAACCGTGACTATCCTTCCTGTCCTCCCCATCAGCCACCCAGTTCCCAGCCGGCTTCACCGTAACTCCCATGACAGATACCAATCCCAAAAGTCCTTTGTAAGAGCCCAAGTCTACCAGCGGCAGAGCAGCCTCCATCCCCTTCGGTCCGTGACCTCGCGTCCGCGACGGCATATCAACCTCCAACCGAGAAAGGAACCGCAAAGCAGCCCACGCGCCATGCTGCTCCTCAAACATATTCAGAAATCTCTACAAACAGCACGTTTGTTTCGATGCCAGCCATGCTGGACATATCCTCACAGCAGCCCGTCAACACCTCTCAAACCGCCCTCCCACACTCGCCCCTCAGCCTGTTTCACAGCCGTCAAGACTCAAGACCCGGGCGCGCAAACAAGTCAAAGCCAAGCTCACACGGTCGCCAGGCATGTTTCACAAACAAAGACGCCAGACGAACAGCACCGACGTCAGGCATGGCTCCCGGTCCGCGCTCGCGCACACATCACTTCAGCCAGCAGTGAATACTACGCGGATATACAAGAACATGTATGTCCTAATCAAAAACAACCCCCGCGCCGCCAAGGGCGCATGTTGGCTCCGACAACAACACATTCACTTAGTACATACATACACATGTCGAGGCAACAAGGTTATGCGCGACTATTCATTCACCCCAAGTCATTCGCGTCTGGTTCACTCTTTGAGTGCGCCCTGGCGCAGGTCAGTTATTGCCGTCGGACTATCAATCGAAAAGGCACTTCCGCCTCCTGAGCGAAATCGCACCCGCCATTCAGCCAGCCCCTTTTCATCCGAGGACCGGAGCCGAGTTACTTACGTGGCCACAGACGTGCCCAGCCTTGCAACATAACAAACGCCACTTGGTGACGCAACTCGCTGGTTTCATGACACAAAACTCCATTCAGCAAAACTAATAGCGCCCATGGGTGAAGCCAAATCAATGCATTATGATAAATCGGTGGACCGTGTCCTTTACACTATATACAATCCTCCCATCGCCTTGGCCCTATAGTCGCCTCGGCTCGAGTGTGGACTCTCTTCAATCTTACAAATGCACAAAGTATATTGCTCCCGCCGCCTGCCACCTCATATTAGGCTCGCAGTCAGAAAACTCGGGGTATGCCGCGGCTATTGAGCCCCCCCAAAGTCTGATCCCATAATCCTGCCGCCAGTAAACGCCATGTCTGAAAGACAGAAGTGCACAACCAAGAAAGTAAACAGGCTGTTCCATGTCCGGAACCAACCATGACGGCCCAAGGACACGCAAAATAAAACAAAGCGCATAGGCAAAGCGCATGCAGGGATTGATAATCGTGCTGGAACAAACAAAGGTCAAAATCAATCAAAACAAAGTCGCAAAAAGCAGAGAAAAATATGTATGCAAACGCCAAAGCAACTTGTCCTCGCTATTCTCAATTCTCCCAGTCTACTCTTGAAACTCCATTCTGAAGACTCGAGAAGATAAAAAAAAAAAGACTCTCAACTGGTAATGTAGAAAGAAAAAAATGTGCGTTGCGCATGTTGCGCCAGTGCCAATTCGACTTGATTCTATTCGAGTCGGCTTCCTTCGACGTTTGATGTGTCCAAATTAGAAGGTTCGTTCGGCCTCGCATAGTCGATGCTTGGTAGCAATTGCTTGTATGACGGTCGGAAATAAGAGGTGGTGGCCTCGCTAGGCCGGTCTAGCGGATACCAAAGAGCCACCACATTCCCAGCCTACATCATCATTGGTAGTACTGAATCATCTTCATTTCGCCTAAATGTGACTGGGAACGTCCACAGACATATCTTCAGGCTCGCTGAGATATGCCAACTGAGCCCATACTCGCCAGTGCAAAACACCGAGATGGGCCAGCCGAGTTGCCATATCCTCAACTCCTCCCTCATCTTGTCCATCGCGTAAAGATGATTCAGAGTCTCGGCATAGAGAGAGGTGATTGTTGTTGGCCACTCGTCCACCAGTGGCTACGGCGAAGAGCGAAACGCCTGACAGTGCTTTAAACTCACGGACTCGGCCCGCTAATGCAGTCATTAGCCTGCTGTGGAAAGCCTGCTCGACCTCTTTGTAGATTTGTGAATCAACCCGGCACACATTGTCCATGAGCTTCCCCTCAAACGTTGGCAGAAACTCCGACGGGGCATTGGTGTACCGGAAGATTTGAAGAGCCATTGCCGGGGCGATAGTCTGCCATCGATTGCAATAACGCGACGATGGAGGCGTCGACTGCAACAACGCAACCAGCGAGTTGTACACATTCTTGGCCTTGATTCGTGATTCGCAGTTCTCCGGCGCGACATATGAAGGCATGGATAGAGAAGAGCGTGGGGAGGAAGATGCAGAGCTAGAAGAAGAGCTAAGTGCGAGACTTGACGGCCTAGAGTTGGACAGTGGCGTGTTGAAGTTGAACTCTGAATTTGGCATTGTTGACGAGTTAAAGGTATCCTCGTCAAGGGGCCGGCACCCGCGACCGAACATCCTTGAGCTATAGCGTGCCACCCGCTCCAGATCCTCGTACATGCGCATGCAAATATCCAAGTTGATTGCGTCAACCATGTCTGACCGGATCTTCATAATTCGCTCTTCGTCAAACAAGAAGGTGCTGGGCACTCGCTTCTCCCCGGATGAGGGGAGGACCAGACGAGAGAGAGCTTCAAAGAAGACGCCCATGTCGCCAAAGGTTTGCGTCGCGTTAAGAAGCGTAGCAGAATAATTTCTCTCAAATTCTCGATACCATTCCCGAGCCCCGGTAATGTCCACCTTTCGAGACTGAATCTTCTTGACAAAGAATTTTTGCTCAAAGTGTGTCGTATCCTCAATCAAGACAGGTCTCAGACAGCGAATTTGATGGTTTGCAACGTCCAGCTTCATAGCTTCCAGTACACTTAGTAAGCTGCGCATTCCAGTGACAAGTTGATCCAAATCAGAATCGCGATTGCCGTCGCGAAGCTGTGTATACATGGTGTCTACCCAGTCATCCCGCATCGGCGCGCAGTGAGACTTGAGCACTTGGGAAAGCCAGAGAGCCAACTTTTCCAAATCGGCGATGCCCTTGTAAAACTGCTGCATCAACAATTCGATATTAAAGCCTTCGTCCAAAAACTGGCGGTCGCGTTGGGGAACCAGCGTCTGAATTATTTCCTTGACGGCCTTGAGCAGCAAGGGGAGTGTCCAGTCGTCGGACTCTCCATGTTTGGCGTGGAAAGCGGGTCGGTCTATTATGAATAGCGTCAATTCCTCCTTCAACGTCCGCCAAAACTGATTTGCCCTCTCTTGCTTTTTTCGTCCCTTTTCTCCGTCCAAATTCGGCCTAAAGTGCAGCTCAGGGTCGAAGTTTATGTCGTGCCGTAACTTGGGATTATGGATTATCTTTGATACGTCCAGCTCGCTCAGAGTAGCTTTTGTGACTGGGGGCTCAACAGGGAGCGACTGATGAAGAGAGTGCCGCCTTGAATGTCGTGTTACCACCGGTTCTGGTGTTGGCGAAGACGACGGTGAGTTGCTAGACGGATTTCTGGATAGCACTGCGGCAGCGGGTGTAGAGGATCGCAGGGCCGGATCACACCGCCGAGGCGATTCTTGTGATGTTGACTGGTTTTTGCCTGCATTTTGTGCCTCGTCCTGAGGAGCCTGCTGCATCTGGACATCGGCGTCTTGTATTTGCTCAGTCTCGGTATTGGGTCCGGGGGCTGAGGTTGAAAGATTCCTGCGTGGTCTCTCGACAGGGCCGCCAGTATCCTGCTCTGGTACCATGTTAAGAATTGATTATGCTTCTTCCTTGACGTGGGCGTGAAAGTTGAGTGTGCTGGCCCTCTTGGTTGTCGGCAGAAGTTGTGCAAGTTATTTCGTTGGTTGGTCCGCTAGGGAAATCGAGTGGCTTCCAATATGAACCAAGTGACGTCTTCCTTCAACTATGACGGTTTCCGTGTTAGCAGAAAGAGCAACTTCCGTATTTCAAGGTTATGGATCATGCAAACGTGCGAGGTGAAACGCAGCCTGCAGTCACGAGGTCCGGACAGTTGCAGACTCCAGTCGCCTATTTGAGGGCGAGCTGCAGCAACTTCGGCCCAGGGACCACGTAAAAAAAGGCTGTCGGCAGAAAACCCCCCATCATTCACAATCCGAACGAGACACAAGGCTGTGCTTAAGCAAATTACAGCAGGGGGATGTGGGAAAACGTGGTGCGGCCTCGTGGTGCTTACATCCAGATATAAAGTCGGTGTGGTATGAAGAATGATATCTCGAAAGGTAAGATGCCCGACTGGGGTACGCTCAACCAGGGACGAGTTTTTCGACGGGGTGGCGTATGGATTATTTCTGCCGGGGTTTTTATATTTCGTGTCCTCCAAGTCGTGTTCCGTCTTTATTTGTCCAAAGCACAAACACATACGGCAAACAACTTTGCTGTGACGAGTTCGAGTTCGGGGTCGGGTCGGGTGCCGTTGGGAAGGGATGACCCGTATGTCGCCCAAAGAGGGAATCAGAGTGGATTAGGCGTAGGCGTAGGCGTGGGCATAGGCAGTAGTGACTCTTAAATGTGCCCAAGGACTAGAGGAGTCAACAGATGGCTTTCGAATGAGGGTCTGAAAATCAAAATATCAAAAGTCATGAATAAAGAATTGAGAACAAAAAAAGGCAAGAGTTGGCACAATCGAGAGTGGGAGGGAGGGAAGGAGTGAAAAGGGAAAGAAGTCGAGATCAGACGGGGGACCCAAAGAACAAAAACT